TACTGTATTTTTGATTAAACAACTGCAGAAATTAGTAGCACTCTCATGCTGTTCCAAACCTTTATTTTATTATTATGTCCGATATTCGCTGAAAATCTTTCTCCACACTTCAGTTCACAGAGAACATAGTAGCAAGGAGGTTTGTTGTAACGACATGATGGTGAGTAAATAATGAAGTAAATGTTCATTTTCAGGTAGACTATGTTCAGTAATCAGTCGCACCAAGGCCACTCGAGTCTTTAACTGGATACACGATGGAACAAGGAAGTGGTAAATTGGACAATCTTAGTGGCATTTTCCAACGGAAAGGTTCAAGTGCGAAGAGATGTGATAAAACAGCATTGCTACCTTACATTACCTCGACTGGATATCTGACTCCTGGGAGAGAGAGCAAAGGGAGAAAGAGAGCGGTGAGGGTGAACAAAGCTGTGCATCCAAGCCAAGAGCAGATCAGCAGCGGGTTTGAACTGCTGCCCAGACTTCTCACACACCTCAGGCCTCTCTCGTTTCAATGTGTCTCCAGTGAAAGCAGAGGGGAAAAAAGCAGCAGAACATATACACTCTTCCTGACCAGAGCTTTGTGTGGGCCATTGAATCCGTCGCTGTGTGTTTTTCCCAATGCTTTGTCTCTCATGTTTGGTTTTCGGTGGTCACATCCAAGAGCTTCCCAAGGAAACAATGATTATATATCAAAGGGGAGCTTAGTGTGTTATAACGTTTAGTGCCTCTTGACTTCCTCATTGCTTTTTTTCTTCCTCCCAACAGATGAAAACTTTGTGTGTTTTACCAAACATGAGCCCGTCGGTGTTTGCGGAGCAATTATTCCGGTGAGTTTATGACTATTTTTTCATTCGCATTTCATTTGTGGAGCATTTAACATCAGTTCACAGTAGGCAAATCGTGAGTTTATGGCACATCCCAATTTGTAATTGGTATTTTTAGATAGAAGTCGTATTTTTCATATCTTTTTTTTATTCTTATTACATTTGTATTTTTAATTATTGTTAAAGAAAAGCAAACATATAATCTTCAAATCTTTGAAATCTTTACCTTTATTCAAAGGCCGTTAAAAATACAAAAGTGCTCAGTGGAAAAATGAAACATTTTCGATATCAAGTGGCCGTATTTTTAATGATTAAAATTAATGTAATTTTTATTATTCATTCTATTCTGTCTATCACTGTTTAGGAGTAACTAGTATCAGTGCAACTAACTATTTTCAGTAGTTTGATTGTTTTCAAAAGCTTTTACGCTCTCACTTACATGAAGCAGTAGTAAGACTGATTCATTTTAATCGTTTAATTTAATCGTTTAATTTTAAGCGGTTTGTTTAAATGCATCGGTTCACTTAAATTATTAACTAAATCATTTAAGTCTCTGTGCAGACATCTTTATTTTTTATTCTTGAATATTTATCGGTAAACAGTAATATTATAATATTTAGTACAATCATTTTATAAAATAATACATTTTTTTCTTTTTCTTTTTTAATTTTGCTTTCACAACGAAAAAGCGTCACACACCGCGGCCTAGAGTATGAGGAGGACGGCTTGAGTGAGCGGTGGCGGGCGGGCTTGAGAACGGTGTGGCCAGTGTGCTTGCGGCAACCACATGTGACGACCCCGGGCTGGACTCCGC